AATTTTTTTTCGGCTTATTGTTTAAGGTTTGTTCAAAAACCAATTAAATTGCTTCTTCAAATAACGTTTCACTAGCGGAGAAACATAACTTTTTATAATTAGCATGACTGTGGAGAGAAGGTTTGCAAAAATGCAATTTTCAAAACAAATTATTACTTATATCATTTTGCAATCAAAAATTACCAGAGGCGGATGTAGGGGGGACGCCCCCGCCCTAAGGGATTCGACCCCTTACCGACCCAAAGGGTCCCCCTTTGAACTATTTTCAATATGCAATTTTGGCTGACGCACCCTTAAATTTTTCTAAAGGCGCCTTTGGCGCCAATCTATCTATCTATTATATATTTAAATGCGGGCTTCACTATCTCGCCATGCTTAAGCTTTTCAACGTATAGTGCTGATTTAAGTTAACCGGACAAAACGCGTTAAACTTGAAATTTAAAACGCGTTTTTCTCCAATCTATTATATATTTAAATGCGGGCTTCACTATCTCGCCATGCTTAAGCTTTTCAACGTACAGTGCTGATTTAAATTAACCGGACAAAACGCGTTAAACTTGAAATTTAAAACGCATTGTTCTCCAATTGGGTTGAGTTTAGGTGAAAACTTATGAAAACAAAACTTGCTTAAAATTTTATCAGAATCAATATGGTTAAATTTGTTTTGCAAAATTCGGTCCCAAAATTTTACCCCAAAAATCGGTCATTTTGCCTTTTCTTAGTTAATCAAAAATCACGCCAAAAATACCCAGTCGATCACAGACATAGTTATATCAAAGTGAGCCCCTTACGTAGCCCAACAAACTTTAAGAAGGGTATTTTCTCCAAAACATCGTATAAATTAATTTATTTTTGTTTGATAGAATTTTTTTTGGAGAATATACCCTTCTTAAAGTTTGTTGGGCTACGTAAGGGACTCACTTTGATATAATTATGTCTGTGATCGACTGGGTGTTTTTGGCGTAGTTTTTGATAAACTAAAAAAAGCCAAAATGACCCATTTTTGGGGTAAAATTTTGGGCCCGAATTTTGCAAAACAAATTTAACCATATTGATTCTGCTAAAATTTTAAGCAAGTTTTGTCTTCATAAGTTTTCACCTAAACTCAACCCAATTTGAGAAAAACGCGTTTTAAATTTCATGTTTAACGCGTTTTGTCCGGTTAATTTAAATCAGCACTGTAGTAAGACGTGTTTAAAATTTCAATTTCTTGCATACAGAGTACAGGCAGTTTTGCGTGTAAAGGCAACGGTGCGACCTCTAGTCCAGGTGCGAAAGAAAAATCACAAAAAACGTCATATCTCGAAAACTACAAGGATTTGAGCAGTCATATTTAGAGGCAAGAGTCGAAATCCTTGATAGTACTCTGACAATACCCAACTACAGGGTTGGGAATTTCAGGTTTTTAGAAAATAATATTAATTTAGGTTTTCTGAAAATTTTTGGAAAAATCTCAAAATTCGTCTTATCTCAACTAAAATGATTCGGGCATTCAAAATTGGAGGCCAAATTCGCAACCACAAGTTCGATATTTGGCTGCTTAATTTAAACTCGGTAAAATAACCACTAAAATCAAATTGCAAAATCGAAAAAAAATTCTTAACCATTGCAATATACGATAAAGCTTAAACATGCAAAAATAATACGTTGAAAAAGCTTAAGCATGACGAGATAGTGAAGCCCGCATTTAAATATATAATTGAGGCAAGAGTCGAAATCCTTGATAGTACTCTGACAATACCCAACTACAGGGTTGGAATTTCAGATTTTTAAAAAATAATATTAATTTAAGTTATCTGAAAATTTATGGAAAAATCTCAAAAATCGTCTTATCTCAACTAAAAGGATTCGGGCATTCAAAATTGGAGGCCATATTTGCAACCACTAGTTCGATATTTGGCTGCTTAATTTAAACTCGGTAAAATAACCACTAAAATCAAATTGCAAAATCGAAAAAAAATTCTTAACCATTGCAATATACGATAAAGCTTAAACATGCAAAAATAATACGTTGAAAAAGCTTAAGCATGGCAAGATAGTGAAGCCCGCATTTGAATATATAATAGATTAATTTAAGTTATCTGAAAATTTTTGGAAAAATCTCAAAAATCGTCTTATCTCAACTAAAATGATTCGGGCATTCAAAATTGGAGGCCAAATTCGCAACCACTAGTTCGATATTTGGCTGCTTAATTTAAACTCGGTAAAATAACCACTAAAATTAAATTGCAAAATCGAAAAAAAAATTCTTAACCATTGCAATATACGATAAAGCTTAAACATGCAAAAATAATACGTTGAAAAAGCTTAAGCATGGCGAGATAGTGAAGCCCGCATTTAAATATATAATAGATTATTTTCTAAAAATCTGAAAATCCCAACCCTGTAGTTGGGTACTGTCAGAGTACTATCAAGGATTTTGACTCTTGCCTCCAAATATGACTGCTCACATCCTTGTAGTTTTCGAGATATGACGTTTTTTGTGAATTAAAAAAAAAAATTTCAGAAAACTTATATTAATTTGTTTTGCAAAATCTGAAGTTCCCAACTTTGTACTTGGGTCCTGTCAGAGTATTCTCGAAGATTGCGAATCTTGCCTCCAAATATGACTGCTCAACTCTTTGTAGTTTTTGAGATGACGTTTTTTGTGATTTTTTCAAAGTTTAAATTAATTATTTTTCGAAATTTGAAATTCCCATTGCTATTAACAACGATTGATAAAACGATGGCTGTTAAATACTGAATTGACTGTATTCTAGTTCGCATAAATATGAGAGTGAACTAGAGGTCAACACATAACAGCTAGACAGTTTTAGGTTGATTGACAGCCAGGTACCAAACACACACTTAATTATAGTATGAGAAATCTCAGAGATAAGTAAAAAAAGAATAGCAACTAAGATGATTGACAACTGAACATATTGTAGCCCCTGACGTTTCCGTATGGATGTAAAATTTAAATACATAGTAATTTAAATTTAATATAATTATTTAAACCTTCAACCTGCCGCCTCAACTAACATGATACAACAAACTTGAGTTTTAGGCTTATGGTCATCCCTCTCCCTGGGTAACGAGTTTTTGAATGAGTTTAAATAAGGTTCACTTTCCTTCTCCCCCTGGATGTTTTCCTTTTTGTTCCGCCCCCCTGGATATTTTCAATCATGACTCCTCCCATTTTATCTACTGGCTTTCTTCTTCTAGTACTCCATCTGGTTCCCGAGCTTTCACTTTGACTGCCAGATTCGATGTCTTCTTCTTGGCTACTATTCACAAGGCACTCTCTCGCAACTAACGCCGGTCGTTCCTGGCTCCCCTTTCCTTGTTTCTCTTGACCCCTTTTCCTCGCTTCGCTCTCGCCACTCTTGATTTTGCTTTTGCTCCCGTTCCACGTTCTGCTACTGCCGTACTGCCGCTTGGGCCTTGTCCCGCCGCAATCGCTTCGTGTCTCGCTAACACTTCTATCGGTAATCTTGCAGGGATGATGTTTAATGGCTGGTAATCTTCACTATCCGAACTGTCAGACTGGAAGGTGGCTACTGATACGTTTTGCATAGCCTTTGGTCTCTTTGATTTCGGGCTCTCGATTGCCCCTTTCTTTGCGCTCGATAACATCTCCTTGAGCGTAGCCGGCTTCCGTTTCTTGGGAAGGGTGGGTTTTCGTTTTCCTGCAACTGCACTTTTCCTAAGAACAGATCCGTTTTTTAGCTTGATAGTATGTTCGGATTCAGAGATTACATCAGATTTTAATAATTTATACCGATTTAGGGTCTTGCTGGTGGTACGCTGATACAGGTCGCGTGCGCCTCCACTCCCTTGGATTAGGCCCAGTGTCTCCACTCCCTTGGATTTTCGGGGCAACTCCCGATACCTCCCCTGGACACGTGTCCATTTGCTGGTCGCTATCAAGCATGATAGTGGCCCTTCTTAAAGCTGGAGCGTATGTCAAATCGGACCTTTGTTCGATGTTGTCGATGTACTCTAAAGAGTTTCAAATCTTGCCACATGCGACTGCGAAAATGCTTTGAGTTTCCGAGATGAGACGTTTTTTTTTTTTTTTTTTTTCAAAATTTCTCCAAAAAACTTATCTCCAAAAGAAATTCAAAAAATTTGAAATTACTAAGTTGATGAAGATACAACATTATTGTCAGCGTAAATCCAGGCGCCTCAAATCTTGCCTCCTAATATGAATGCTCAAATCTTTTTAGTTTCCGAAATAAGACGTTTTTTCTTTTTTTTTTCGGGAAACTTAAATCTCAGGGACTCTCAGTGGTTGCAAATCTGGCCTCCAAATTTCTCTAGAGGCCCATTAAGTTTACGAGATGACGCTTTTAAAATGGGAATTAAAAAAATTTTTAAAAAAAGTTCCAAATTACCAACCCTGTAATTGGGTGCAGTCAGAGTACACTAAAAGTTTGCAGATGTTGCTTCCAATATATGCGGTTTTTCGTGCGTTGTCGAAAAATTTCGAAGCACCGGAGGTGCGTCAAACGCTAGTATATACTTAATTTAAGGGGGAGCGAGAGTCAAAAAACGCTTTTTCAAAAAGTGCCTAAAATGCCTTTTTGGTCTGTTTTTTTTTTCAAAATTTTGCCTGCAGCGAAGAAATTCTGGCAAAACAGGGACCTTTTAGTGCTCTGGGAGAACTCGGAAAACTAATTTGGTCGACTTAAAAAATCCTAGATCCGCCCCTGATAACTACATCAGATACCTTACAGGGCAGTCGAAACATTCAGGGTTTCTCTATGATACCAGAATTCTTGTTTCGGTTTAATGTATACAGCATTTGAATGATGTTGTTACGCCGCTCTTTGAAATTATATGATAATACTGTTTATTTAACTTGCATTTTTGCCAGACGATCTTGGCCCAACTTTCCAGGGACTATTATGAATTTGATTGGATTTAAATTAGTTTAACCATGAGTTCTAATTTGGACATTTTTACCTTTTAATACGTATCAATATATTACAAGTAATTTTCCTTCTGGAATTACTATTATGTCTGATGTATACCTTACTGTTTGGATGCTGTTTGTACGAAAATGGTGGCATTGAGCGCCTTCTCTCAGACGGATTTGCCTAAGCGTCGAAAAAGATTTCTGCTTTGAGGAATTAGTTTTCTTCTGTCGTTTCCTTTTTTTATTATACCGAGCCACCTAGCTGTCTACTACACACCGAAGGGAAGGAATAACTGAATTTATTCTGCTGATATTGTAATGGCAATGATTATTGTGGCGGTGAAATAACTAACTACGTAGCGCACAATACCCGCCACCACCACAAACTATTTTCCTACGCATTCCACTTCATCCGCCCGGTCAACTGCATTTTTGGTGTCATTTATGTGTTTGCCTTGTAGTATTCTTTCTCTTTCCAATGTACATAACTAAAAAGTCCACGGAAATTCTTTTCAATCCAAATTTTATCCAGAGACTTATCCAGAAATAGCAAATATACTTTCATATTCTCTCATTCAAATGGAGCGGAAAATTTGAATACTGGCATTGCAATTGGCCAGTCTTTCAATTAAATTTTGTTTGGAGTATGCATCTAAGTTTGGATAAAAGTTAATAATATTCCATGGCTAGAAACACGTGCTACTAATTGAATGCGATTATCTGTGCGGTTTTAAGAGAAGTGCGTTATGTCAACTTGGAAAAAGCGACGAGTCCCTCCTTGCTGCAGTTGTTTGGCTATGACGGAACGAATCTGAAGCATCGAACCAAATGGACTGGACTGACATCCTGAGATATGCATAGAGCAGAAAAAACAACGGTCTCACTATCTAATGGGTATGTGATTCTTAAACCAGAAGGGTTATTTTCATTGCTAGAAATCTGGCTTAAAAATCTGTTGCTCCTTAGCTGAAACAAGCGAAAACAAAAATCTGGGAATTATTCTACATGAAGGTCCTCTGCGGGTTCGACAGGGAAATAAGGTAAGGACTTCTTGAGTATTTTAAAGCTTGAAGAAATTTTAAGCATTTTTGAATTTCTTCTTTATTTTAGTGGAAAAGCCGCTGGTGTGTGTTATCGCTTAGTTCGCCAGTGTCTGGTGAGTTGTTGAGGTATCTGTGAAATGATAACTCGTGAAATATGCAAGTGTCCCACAATCAGAAACTAGACTTTTTCTGTAATCATTTCCTACTTTAATGAACGGACTTTTCTCTATTTACAACCTATTTATATAACAAATAAGTAGTTTTAACTAGTTTGTACTTTATTTATAAGTCGCGCCTAGATACACATGAGAGCTTCTGAGCAGTTTTGTTATTTCATGAGTTAAATTTTTTTCCAATCGAACTATTACAAATTGTGCTCATTTTGGCAGAAACTTTTGCTGCGTAATGATGAAATAATATGTTGTCCGGTTTATACCTGGCTAATGTTTCGGTTCTGGGCTCATTTCCACTTCCCCCACATTGAAATTTAATTTTGAAAAGCTATTTAAACATTGTAATTTTGCGATAAAACTTGGCATGGCGAACAAACTAACATTGTGAACAAACTTGTTCTTCATACTTTGCATTGCAACGAATGCAAGTTTATTCCTGGGGGGGGGGGGTGGAAGGGAGCCTGGTTCTGTGGCACGTTTATGTAGGGCAGTTATGAAATCTAAAAAAATAGCCGTTTAACAATCACTTTGTAGTTGTTAGAACATAGTTGAAAAATGCCCGAGGGAAGAAGAGCCCGGCCTGAGGGTATGAAGTGCTCGATGGCGACTCTTTTGCCCGAGGCCATCTTCAACTATGTTCTAACTGTTGAAGAGTATGTTTTTGCTCTTTCTGGGGGAAAGATGCCGGAAAATTGTGAAAGAGCCCGGAAAATTGTGAAAAAGCCCGGAAAAGTGCGCGAAACTATTCAAATGATTTCTTTAGTCATTCATGCGTTCTAATATTTTGTTTTTCATTCATGCCGTTGAAGAACATGTGTGAAAGAGCAAAATCATACTCTTTATCTTCGGTTCTCTTGAACTCAGAAGTCAAATGTTAATTCGCGCATGTGGCGAAGAGGTAACACACCTGCCTACAAAGACAAAGGTCATTGTTTTGAATCAAGTACCTGTTTTTTTTTCAAGCACTGGCCTTGAATTTTTTCAACTCGGGAGTTTTAGGGAAACTCAGAAGCTCAAATAGCGTTGAGAAAGCTCAGATAGCGACGATAAAACTGACATTTTTGTTTTACCTATTAAAAAATGAGCTCAAATTGATTTAGCATATATTTTTAACATCTTACTTTGGGTAATTTACAGGTTAAAATGTTCAAACTTGACTGTTACCAATTGGACGCTCCTTGTCCTAAATAATAGCGTTGTCCCGCAGAAACGATTCGCTCAACGAAACTAAATGGTTTGAAAAAGAATTTTACAGCGGATTGTTTTTAACAGCTCTGAATCAGTGACGTGCGAGTTTTTTGAGGTGTGAGGTGGGTCAACTCAATTTTCTAAGCTGTCTCAGAGCCTTAAAAAGACCAGATTTTCTTTTACTTGGCAGGAAAAATGTTTGAGAAAAAGCGCTAAAAGATGCCCTTAGTTAAAAAAGCGCTAGTTTAAATAATGAAATAAATGGGCATTTCAGAATCATATACTGTGTTTTTCTAACTTTCTAAGTATTTTATTTTCCAAATCTTTCCGAAGGGGTAGCTTAAAAATTTAGGCCAGAAATTTCAAAACTATACATGTTTACGCTTGCGATTAGCAAGCGTTATCAAACCGAAACATAGACTTTTTCGGGTTAACAAGTTGCTTAACAGAATCACTTGGTACCTTGGTGCGTAATGAATTCAAATTTGTAAGCGTCTCCGGCACACTTAATCTGGATGCAACTAATACGCCTGGGACAGCAAATGATCTGGGTTCAAATCTGAGCAGGGCCTGTTTTTTTTTCAAACGGGAAATATTCTGTTAAAAAATGTCGGCTTATTATTTATCTGCTAATGTTTTCTCGGCTTAGTTGCCACATATTAAATTTTTTTTCTGAATGCAGTTTCATTTTAGTTGCTTTTTATGTTTTCATTTACCGCAGGATTTTGTAATTCTACTATCCTTGACTTCGAATGTTTTTTTTCGCTTAAAGAAAAATTTCGGCCAATTGTTTGTCTGCTTATCTGTTGTCTGCTTAGTTGTCACATCTTGGAATCGTTTTTTTTTCTTTGGGCGCATTTTTCTGTAATGTCATTTTTACTGTTCGTCGTGCTCTTACAATTTGAAATTTTATTTTTTTTGACTTCGTATTCCCTGCTTTGTTTTTTTGTTTCGCTAAAAAAATTTCGTCGCCCAAATTATTTCGGCCTAATTTTTATCGACTTAATGATCTAATTTTGGTCGTTTTAAGGGAAACAATTTAAGAACTCCCCTCCACACTTGTCAGGTTGGGATTTTGTTTATAGGTTGGTTTGTTGAAGTTACTTTTTTTTCGTTATGGAAAATTATTTAGCCCTTCTATCTACAGCCTTCGAAAAAATCTGTGGACAAATATTTCACCCATGTTTTTGATTTTTTTCGTTTTCTTGAAAACTACTTGTCCCAAATCTGAGTTTTTGGTTAAATTTAAAAAAGGGTTTCCAAAAAATCCCTGCATTAACGGCGACATCCAATTTTCTTTCACATAAGTTTATGGCCCTCGGAATAGTCGAACTTTTGATTATTCAATGAACGGGTTGTAGGGAAGCTCATTTAATTGTGCGATTTCGCCCGAATTTTTCTGACACCGCAAATTATGGCCCTCGGACAAGTCAAAGATTTTTTGACAGTTTTTGCACTTTTTTTTTCTGTATAAATTGCCTCACCCTTTTTTCACACAAAAAGCAAAATTTTTGATTTGTTGACGTTTTTTGCATTTTCTCGCTTACTATCCTGCCAAATCGGATATGGTAGGTTTAATCGGAATAACTGGTTTTTGAAAGCCTATCTTCATAATTGGCTATGCCCAGTTTAATTTAAAAAGTTATGGCCTTTAAAGAAGTCAATTTTTTGAAACTTACAGTTTTTGAAACTTCTTCGCTTTACGCCAAAACTACCGTGCCAATTCTCAGGTTGTGATCAATCGAGAAAGTCGGTTTTTGGAATCTTCTCCGCTTAAGCGACCTTAACCTGCTTTTTGCTGAAAAAAATGAAGTTTGGAAAGTCTTTCAACCGTTTATTAGAACATTATTAGAACATTTTTTGAACTTTCTTTACGCAAGCATAGCTTGTGTTATAGTATGAACTTTCTTTTTTCCAACCTAAGTCGCAAATATTGTTGTGACAAATTGTGTTCATTTTGATCCAGCTATTAAGTACAGCCAATGCTAAGGAAAGGATATTAACACAGACTCACAAAAAAGTTTTATCAACACAAAGATTACTAACACAGATACTAACAAAGTTTTACTCATTCAGTTTTTCCCAGTAGCGGTGTCGGTCATATTTTTGCTTGTGTATGCGAAGTGAAACTTCGCCTCTGTGTAAATTTTACACATTCAAATCTGAGCTGGTTATCTCAACTTTTTATTTTCGAAGGGAATTAAATAAGGTTTTGAGCAAAGTCCAACATTTGAAATAACATTTTTGGTGGCGCATCAGTAAAGCAAAATCATTTTATATCATACACGTATCTCCAGCTTGTTTTTATCGAGACATACGAAAGTTTTGGGTCACCTAGTTTTTATCAACATTTAAATTTGTTTTTTCGACTTTTTTTTTTCGTGTATGAGTTGTATCGCAAGTGGTGCGAAGCTCCGCTTCACCCCTGTGTAAGTTCGGATCAGCGGAGGTTTACCATAGTTTTTTTTGCTTTGTTGCTGCCCGATAAATAAATTGAATATTTGTTTAAATCCGGCTATTTAGTGTTTCTGGGCGTGTTTTCTTTAATTGGAATATCATGCCATAGAAAATTTTCAAATTTTTGTAATTACGATGTTCCTAATTTTTTCTAATTGTGGTTTTTTGAAGTTTTGCTTTTAGCAAGCGTTATCTAATCGGAATATAGTTTTTTTTCAGTATAATTTGCTGAACAAAATCATTTAATCACTAGCTAGCTTACTGTATTAGTATATCAAGTTCGTGGTATCTGTTTGGCTCGCATAGCGAGAATATAACGTTGTTGCTTGATACGACAAAGGTTATAGGTTCGAATCCAATCCGGTCTGGACTTTTTTCCGTGTGACAAGAAATGTATTTCTCACTTTTGCTTGTCTGCTTATTTTTTGTCGGCTTAGTTGCTTTAGCGGGAAATATGTTTATGATGTATCACAATTTTTTTCAATCTGTTCCGGTTAACTGCGATACAAGAAGCTCCGCATATTTTTGATGTTTGATATTTCTATGTTTTTTTATTAAAACGATAATAGCAACTTGTTCTCCTACCTAAGTCGCAAAAATAAAAGTGTTACTAGGTTAAAAGGGTTATAAAATAATAGGTTAGTAATAAGTTAACTCAATTGATGCTTCGTTAATTCATCAAATGAACCGAAAAAAGCTTATTGTTTCATACTACAGTAAAATAATTTAAATCCCATTTCAGAAAATTTTTCATTCAATTTACTTGCGAGATTTTAGAAAACCATAATTTATACGCAATTTGATTTTATACGTATTCATTCATTACATGCGTTCTGAATTTGGTGTGGCTGCCTTCAGTTTATTACATTCCATTTCATTACATGCAAAGTTTGACTTTTCGTATATTTAAAGCTTCCGTATCTTTGCAGCTTTCTCGCCCGTGTTTGCGAAGCTGCAGCTTCGCTTCTCTATACAATTTAAGGAAATATATGAAGTGAAATGTTTTATTTTGTCCGCGCATTTTTTTTTCGAAGAAAATTGTTGTCTAAAATTGTTTCAAATTGTGAGTTCTCTGATTACAATGATTTAAAAATGTGAATGCCAGTATTATGGCGTAAAAAATCCGATCATACTGTTTTTCCGCTTGTTTCATCAACTATGTTTTGTCAAGTAGGCTTTAATGAATAATAAGCGTTGAGAATTGCTAGATCGTACTTTCGCTTTTTTTTCGACATGTTTTGGTATATATGTAAAATCCCGCTGAGTTAGACGCTCTAATGCTGGTATATTTTTCT